GCAAAAGGCTAGCTTTTGTGACAACTTTGCTAGTCACTAATAAATCAATGGTGATGCATCACTGAGTTATCACAAATGTATTTCTATTTTGACAATAAAATTATCTTTTCAACCTTCTTTTGTGACAAGAGATGATGACACGAGTATACCCCAAAAATGATGATAACGTATGTCCTACATGAGTGCATTTTGTGACAAGATTTTAGAACACATATTGCTACAACACTTTATTCAGTGAGAAGATGTGTCGTCACTTCTATTAATTGCGAGAACATGTTTTGTCACAAATATAATGGTTTGACGACTAACGAGCTTCTTTAGTGACAAGAAATTAAAATACGAATATAGTCATTGGTGAAACAAAAAATATATCATATTTTGTGACAAGAATGGTCACCAAAATAAAAAAAAAAATCAAATTCACAAGATAATAGGGGAAAAAGTCTTAAACTCAAATTTGGCTACTAATAATTCTAAATAGTATTGAAATCAATAAAAACCACAAATCTAACACTAATGAGAGGTTTTTTTATCTTTATAAATCATCCTATTTTTTCGGACGCAACAGTTGCATCATGTCTTCATCATGTTGCTTTTGCAGGTCAGCAAACCTTTGTTCCCATTTCTTGTTCTGCTCTGCTAGCCGGGCCTCAAACTGTTGGTTTAACTCTGAATAGATCTCATTTCTTATCCCAGCTCTAACTTCTTCCCCAACCACAACAATTTTCTCCCGCCTAACACGTCGAGACGAGAGCTTGCCCTTGGCTTTAAGTATTATCTCTTTGTTAGACAAATAAGTTCCTTGATTGACTATCTCTTTTATTCTTTCCTGTAAAAAAGAAAAAGAAATTATTCTATTTTATGATTTCAGAATGAAGTGTATATAAATGTAAGGCATTGAAAAAGTCTATGAAAGTTTACTTACATAAATTGCTTTTGATGCCTCATCGCACCAACAGCCTCTGTCCCTGTGTTGGGAAAATAAACCTCTAATTTTTTCCCATCTTGGGTTGCTAGCACAACAGCATTACAGGTTGTGATCCCCCTCTTATTCTTCACTGTAATAATAAATACGTGACAAAGTTTTAATGGCTTGATTTAATAATAAGAGCATATTAAAATATGGTAGTCCTAAAGTATTAAGTAGGCTAACTAGAAAATCGCGTTTACATCTAGTTAAACTATTAACCAGCAAACCAGAAATCAACAAACAAAAAAGACTCAATGAAAAAAATGAGCAGATTTGTATTACAGTGAATAAATAAAAAGCACTCCAATTAATTAAGCTGACTAGTTACAAAGCAAATCATAAGCATCGCCGCTCTATATCCCAGGACTTGGGCAATTTTTAATGCGTATTATTTAACCAAAAATGGGTACTTCTTTTATAATATTAATATAATCTTATCTTAATGGAAATTTGATCAATGGGATAAATAATAAAAGCTCCAACTAATCACAACTCATCACAAACGTGGGACGTATCATTTAACCAAGTTTGTTGTTTAACCTATCAAGCTCCAACTCATCACAAACGTGGGGCGTACTCCGCCAAAAAAAAATTTGGACTCAGTATATCAAATAAAATTGGGAGTTTGCAGTTAGGGATTCAGATTAAATTAAATACGGTCCTTTGGCAATTAAAGGATGAACACGCAGAACGAGAAATAGCTTAAACAACAAACTAAAATTTCACGTACCTTTTGGAGGGTCCGAGTTAATTTCAGAGGATGGGACAAATGAAAATTCTTCTTGCATATTCTCTCCTTCCATCAGGGTTTCATCCGAATCATATTCGGCTTCAGTATGTAAAGATGGGGAACGGGTCTCATCTGAATCGTAATTGGGCTCACGTGATCGTTTTCTTCCTTTTCTCTGGTATGTGGTGTAAGCAGAGGACGTCATTGCTGTCAAGACAGACAAAGAGCATACATACTGAATCAAACTTACGTGTGAAAACATGAGAAAAATAAGGAACAGTTGATCATCATCATACCTTGTAGCTTGGGCCAAGAGTAGAGCAGGAAGGTAACGACAATGAGTGAGTGGGCAATCCTCTTTGAATATTAGCTTGCGGCTGTAAAGGAGAAAGGATTGGGGTTTCGTGAAAGTGGTAGAATGAAAGAAGAAGGGTTTTCTTTTTCCGTAAGGGTTTTATTATTAAGTGTTTAGGTGAAGCTTTCCTTCCCAGTATCAACGCAAATCTTGTAAAATACAATTTAATTAAATTATTATTTAGTTATTAGATAAGTAAAGGAAGGAGGGAAAAGCAGATGACATGGATTTTTTTAGTAGGCCGTAGTTCTTCCACATTATGCATAGGAATCTCTTCTACTTTATATTTCCTTCCCAATATCCTTTCCACAAAAATCTTCCTTCCCAATATTTATTAATAACCAAAATTATCTCTCTTTTTTCCTAACTGTCTAGTATCTCACTTAATATTTTTATTTGCTCACACATTTATATATCACTAGACAATATAGCCTCCTGACCACAAGGGGTGACTCAATGGATGCTCGTATACCCGTTTAATGATTCGTAGTAGTTTTGTATTAAAGAATTATGTTTTAAACTTGTTTAAAATCATTTACAAAACGAGTCATTTGCTCAAATGATAGGAGTGAGTTTACAGAAATGAGGTAAGGACAAAATTGAAAAATTTAGACTAACCCGAATCGTTTTCTTATTCTATTATACAAAATTCAGTTTTGAGTTTTGAAAAGATGGGTGCCTAATTCCAATACAATAGGGTTCCATCACCACAAGTAAGTTGAAGACTATGATTGATGAGTTAGTAGGTGGCTTAGCTCCACCTCTCGGTGGAAATTTTTTTTATAGCGATTTACTTGACTCGATGGATAGGGCTAGGGGATCAGAAGGTTATACCTTAGAAATTAGGGTTAATACCTTATTTTGGCCTGAACTATTACCATATAATCAACTTTGGCCCGTGGTTTCAGAAATTAACATCCTGACCTCAACTATGCAGCATATAGACTCAATTGGCCCGACACATAGTTTGACCGTCAATTTGGACGGTCAACTCTGTTGACCGTTAGTCAACATGCCATGTCATTGCCTAGTCAGCATAAAAATTATTAAAAAAATTCAAATTCAAATTATTTTCCTAATTTATATTATTTATCATTTTCCAATTAACCAAAAAAGAAAATTCTAAAAATATAAAATAATTTTTTTGGGATATTTGAAAATGATAAATTTTATAAACTAACCAAAATTATCAAATTAAATTATGATATAAATTATATTTTTTTGGCAAGTTTTAAAAATATAAAATAATTTGATACTTTTTGGTTAATTTATAAAATTTATCATTTTCAAATTATCCAAAAAATATATTTATTTATGTTTTTTATAATTTATTTTTGGTTAATTTGATAATAAATAATTTTTTGAATGATTTTTAGGCTGACTAGGCAATGACATGGCATGTTGACTAACGGTCAACGAAGTTGACCGTCCAAATTGACGGTCAAACTATGTGTCGGGCCAATTAAGTATATATGCTGCATAGTTGAGGCCAGGATGTTAATTTCTGAAACCACGGGCCAAAGTTGATTATATGGTCATAGTTTGGGCCAAAATAAGGTATTAACCCTAGAAATTAAGTGAAAAACATTTATTCTATGTAGGGATGGTGTTCCCTCTCAACTGAAATGAGTCGTATCGAAATGACTCGATAGAGACATTTGAAAATGACTCGATAGAGTCTTTTGAGACTTTCATATGGAATAAATTACTCATGCGTTTTTTTTAAGCAAACGAGTCATGTGATACCAATGACTCAATTAAGTCATTTGGTACCAAATTACTCATAAACGACCTCCCAAACGTGTTCATTCATTGAGGAATTGCACATTGTCGTAATGAATGATTATTTTAGTATTTATGGTACAAGTTCAAGTTGTACCTTGAAGTGTTAGTGCTTTAAAGTATAGATGAAGTTATCCTCAAACATAATTGTCAATATTTTAAAGTATAGTTGAAGGGCAATCATATTATTGATGTATTTCTCAAGAACGAAAATTGAACCATATATTCATTTCCATGGAAATATATTCTTAGATAATAATGATATAAAGCATGCTCTAACCTTATTGTATGTCTATCAAGTTCTGATATTTATAACATAAATTAACTAGAGTTTTGGACATCATACTCTATCCTAACTTTTAATGACGTGAACTCAGTCTGTAATTAGCTAACCTAAACCATAAATTTTAATTTAATCTACATATAATAATTGAGAGTTCTCATTCGTCGAAAATATATTGAAATACATCCATGGTTGTCACGCCGGCCAGCGTGCCACTGGTTGAATCTGGTTCAACCTGTACCGGTCATAAAACCGTCATGACACCCCGGTATAACCGGCATGATCGATATATGAATCTCCAAGTATCTTAGTGAATTTAATTGATAAAAAGTAATTTATTATTTATTTTATGTGTTAAAAAGTTAAATGTTGATGTTATTTGTTGGATTCAAGTACAAATATTTTGATATTGACGTTATATATCGTGTTTAAATATGAGTATTTGTAAATTATTTGTAATATTAACCGGTATGAACCGGCACAAACCGGTATGTACCACCGATCGAACTATTCCACTTGCTAAACCGACACACTGACATAAACTGGTTTGACAACCTTGAATACATCTAACTAGTATAAACACACGCTTATAACATAAGTTGGCCTAAGAAGCCTAAGCTAACTTTACGAGCATGTCATCACATATATTCATAAACTTTTACCCAAAAATAAAAACTACTTAAACTTACAATATATACCTTAATAAAAGAAAATAAAAATTCCGCCTGCCAAAAAGAAAAAGGGGAGCAAAGTCGCCTTCCCCATCCTTCCTTCTTACTCGGCCATTCATCCCTCCATCTATTCCTGTCTAAAAAAAAATCCCTCCATCTATATGGAAACCACACAAACTATGAATTTGGGGGAAATTCTTGGCGGCCAAAATCCAGGCATGAATCGAGAAGAAGGCGGGGATAATCATAAGAATATTGGGCGGGTGAACCAAATCAGGTTTTAGGTGTAATGTCCTCTCCATTATCCGCCTCGCCTAATTACTTCTATCCTGCTCGACTGCTGCCGGCTCAAAGTGATGGAAGGTTGCTGGCGCCAATGGTTGGCGCCAAAATCAGCAAAAATAATGGGAATAAAGAACTATAAATAAATTTGCTGATATTCTAGCATCTCACGCAATAGCTTTCTGATCCCCATCGTTCGAGTCGTATTTGCCTCTGCCGCTGACTCAAATCAGGTAAGCTCTTTTTGCAGTTTCTTTTCCTAGTTTCTTTTCGAGTCGTCTTCGCCTTCTGTGGATTGCCTGACTCATGGCGTCCCAAAACCGACATATAGATTGCTTTATGGGTTTTGTTCAAGAGTTTTGTTCTTTGCATGTTAGTCTCTTTTGTGCTTTGAACTTGGTAAGCTATTTTGTTGAAAGTCCAAATAGAGTACTTCTTCACAAATCCATGACAAATCAGGTGTTCATTGACGACATTTCTGGTTTGCCAAAACATATTCTTGCACTTCACACAGGGACACAAAATCTCATTTCCCTCAGCCGATTTAGCAAATGCAAAGTTCAGAAAACTCTCTACCCCATTACGATAGGCGGTACTCACTCGTGCTTTCGACAACCAACTTTTGTCCATTTCCAATAATAAACTGCAAAATGAATGACCTGAATTAGTAAATATATACATTAAGGCCAGGACAATATAAGTACAAAGAGGAAAGCTGGAATTTCAGCAGAAAATCAATATAAAATTACCAGTGAACAAAATCAAAAGCAACATTCTTTACAATTAAGCTTTGTGTGGTTTTATATGTGGTATTGAGACTGGATGATAGTCTAGCTTGACTTACTAGCCTTGAATTAATTCCCAGCAATGCTATAAACCAGAGGTAGACATACCCGATTCTGCCAGCTGCATTGCTTATTTGATTGAAACAGCAAATGCACAAGTTATCGATCTTTCAACTGATGCAACAAAAAGATTAAACTAGCACACGTTTGCTTGATCATACAACATATATAGTCAAAGTTAATCTGCAATTCTGGGCATTTCTAGAAACTTGGCACGTGAAGCATATGGAAAAATGCAGGAGCTCTAATCAATAAAAGATAAGCTTGTAATTAATACATGGAAACAAACTTGGCTGCAGCAAAGTGATAATCTCTATTACTCCCACCGATTGAAATAAAGCGGTTGAAGCAACTAGAAATAGAGCTAGTTTGTGAAGTTTGTGCAAGGTAGAGAGCAAGAGAGCTAGTAAGAAAGAGCAGCAGCTTTTCGTGTTGCAGCAAAATCAGTGCCTGGACTCCTTTTACTTCATACCAATCTGAACAAAGGTATGGATTTTATTCGAACAAGTGATAAGGTGAGCATTTGAAACTTTATAGTGGAAGGTTGGTTGCTTTTGTGTCATTAATTTAGTTATAAGCCAGAGTGTGTGGTTTTCATTTTTGCTTTCTATTCGCATGTTATTTAAGTTGGAAGAATAATACCTTATATTCCATGCAATGGAATATGCTACTTCATTGTTAATGAGAAAATAAAGTCCGAAATGCTTAGTAGTTTTGTGGAACAGAGATTTTTGCGTGGGTTTCTTTGTTTATGCAGAGGATTTTCCTTAGCCAATAAGTGGAGCACTGGGATGGGGCTACCATTCATAGGCTAGTATAAGAAGGGGAGGATGATAATCAAAGGGATGAATGCCAATATCTTTGGGGTTTGGGACTCTGCCTTGATTTTTATATTAAAGTAAGGGGTGCTTCTATGGATAACTAAATCATACTTATGTTATCTTTCTGGTTAAGTGCTTACCATACTGTTTTTATTTCAGGGTCATATGGCACCATCATCTACAGATTCTGGCTCCTTTGGGAACACTATAATTGATTTCTACTGGGTAAGCTCTTTATGGTTGACATCGTGTTAAGCAACTAAAAGGTGTGCTAAGAAGAACATGAGTTTAATAAGGAGAAAGCAACTCTATCCTGATGCTTGTGATGTGAATTAACATGAAGGTTTTCTGGTGGGAATCTGGTTCATGGAACACAATGGACATCACCCATGATAGAGGTAAACATGTAACAGTTGATATTGGTTATTCGGATGTACTTAACCAGCAGAGGAAAACTCTAAATCCTACCGTCCCCATAAACCCACAAATTAACACAGTAAGCAGAGAGAGATAAAGAACTCCACCCAAACAAGGCATTCAGGAACACATAACAATCAAGAACACAAGCGACAAGAAAGAACCACAACATATATTGCAGCAAACAGTAAAAAAACACTCGACTCAAACCCCAGGCTGTCTTAATTTTTTCCCTCTAAGGCAGCACGCTTTAGAACAAGCTCAAGAACAAGCTACAATCACCGAAACCATCTTCAGCTTTTGAACCAGCGAAACATAATCTAGTTTTAGAAAGCAATTAGAACTGCTACAGAAGACCGGTGGAAGGAGAAAGGAGAACCCACCGTATCAAGGCGTCGCCCTTGCCGATTGGAGACGAATTCGAAGAGGATTCTTGATGGTGGGACAGGAAACGGAATTCGAAACGGCTGTGTGGAGGAAAGAAAACTGTGACCTTCAGAGGAGGATTGATGGTCGCTGATTCCTGGTTGCTGGGCGGAGCTCTGGTGCTTGTCAATTTTGCCGCCGATGAACAAGTACGCGAGAAGTTTGCGCGGGGAGTGCTGGGAAGAGAAGTAACGTTTGGTAAAGTTGGAAAAAATCCCAGAATATACCAATTATTAAAAAAAATTACCAAAATACAGTACTTATAAAACTAATTCCCAAAATACAGCAGTTTCAACATCACTGTCTTTGTCTAAGACAGTGATGTTGATCACCGTTTTGGTCTAAAACGATGATACATCACCGCTTTAGACTAAAGCAGTGATGTTATCACCGCTTTAAACCAAAGCAGTGATGCCATCATCGCTGTCAAGGACGACAGTGATGGCGTCACCGTTGATGTGGCAGGCAGTGAAGCCTTCACCGTTGGATCCAACAGCGGTGAAGGGGCGCGGATCGCTGACGTGGACGCGCGCGGGCACTTCACCGCTGAAGACCAAAGCGGTGATAGCCCCGCTTTCCACGTCAGCGATCCGCCCCCCACCCCGCGCCTTCACCGCTGCCGTCGGATGCAGTTATGCGCGGATTGTGGTTTTTCTCCACAATCCGACGCATCAGGAGAGGCCACGTCAGCGATCCCTGCACATCACCGCGTCCAACAAAGGCGGTGATGGCGCTGTGTTTGTTTGGGGCGGTGATAACTGGCCAGGTTTTTTCCCAGCCCCAAACCCTATAAATACCCATCCCCCCTCTCATTCCAAACCACACCACCACTTCATACTTCTTTCTCCCTCCATTTTTCACTCTAGTTTCGTTCTAAGTATGCTCTGTGGTTGCGGCTAAGTCCGATCTTCCGCATCAGAAAGAATTACTAGAGTTTTTGTTTTGTTGTTTTGTCGATACTCTCGCTAGCTTTTCGGCAAAAAATGGACGAAGAGGCTTTGAGAGTACGTAAATTTATTTAATTCTTTTGTGCATTTTTTTTTACATGGGTGCTAAAATTTAAATTGATTTGATTTCATATTTTTTTATAGATGGGTGCTGAGATATACGACCCTAGATTGTATATCGATCCTGGCCCAAGGGATCGAAGGTATTTAACCGGGCAAGATCAACATCGCTCTCGTTCAATTTGGAACAATAATCCGGTAGATACACTACAATTATTTCAATAGTTTTAAAGTTTTTATTTTGCTTTCTAAGTTTTTATTTTGCTTTCTATTGACTGACAATATTGTGTTTTTTGTTTTGTAGGAATCACTTATTCCCATCAGTCATCGAGGTACATGTCGATTGCCCCGTTGGCATCCTCGACTGCATCCCTATCTAGAGAGGGCGGGATTGCACAATTTGAGGCACTTTATGAGGCTAGATATTGACAACGATCTGCTGACGGCAATGGCAGAGCGATGGCGCCCTGAGCTGCATACCTTCCACTTTCCCGAGGGTGAAATGACGATCACCCTCAAAGATGTTGCCATCCTCACCGGGCTCCCGATCACCGGAGATGCCATCATCGACAGCTCGAGAAAACCAGAAGATGGTTGGGGGCCATTGATTCAGGAACGTCTGGGGTTCAACATGCCGACCACCACGCCCGTTGAAGGGGTTGGGCATCCACCACTGAATGCGGGGCAAGTATCGATCCCGTGGCTTGTTGACCACATCCAATTGGAGGTTAATATAGGCCTGGATACTCCTGAAGATCAGGTGGAGCGGTATGCACGTGTATACCTAATTGCCTTGGTTGGTGGGTTTCTGTTCCCCGACAAGTCAAATAAGTGGATACAAGGCATGTGGTTCCCTATGCTCCTCGGTGACTGGGACGAGATCGGGAGAAAAAGTTGGGGGTCGGCCGTCTTGGCTGGAATCTACCGAGAGTTGTGTACTTGCTCGAGGTTGGGAGCGAAACAAGCTGGTGGTGCGATGTTCATACTTCAACTCTGGGCATGGGAGCATCTTCCGTTTCTCGCACCTCAAGACCCTCGGGAATTCTGGTTGCCAGATGATGAGCTACGATTTGTAGCAAATCCCCCATATGGTTTCAAGTAAGTTCAATTTAAGTTGAATTTATTTTAGATAAAGTAATGAAGTAGTACAATATTTTGAGTCCGTAATATACCTGAATCACTGGCATGCAGAAGGGAAACCCGTCAATGCATGGCTTGAATGTCCAGAACAGACGATGAAACATCAACTCGTTCTGTACTCGAACTTGATCTTCAGTTTCTACGTTGTTGTACCAAGGCACGAAAACCGTCCCAGGGTTGGACTCCTCCATTGCGGACATTAGTCTGGGGAGTAAAGCATACGAGTCATCCCAATCACCGTAGACATCAGCCATGGCCTTCTGCTTCCCATGCCACGCCTTCTTATACCTTATGGTGTAGGAGTGTCGATCCTTCACCTCCGCCATGATAGCTTTTATCTTGATATCTGGTTGTGCCTCGATAAGGTGCTTAATGGTTCTTGCCACTTTTTTTGCTTTCAGTTGCCGGTGATCCTGTGAAAGTATGGTTGAGGAGCAACTGTGGTTGTTCTCTGCTGTCCGCATGACCCAGACCCCCTTTCTCTTCATATATGCAGCACGAAGTTGCCACATACAACCCTCTCCAGCATTCTTACAAATGACATGCAGTTGTCCCTTGTCAGAATATTTTACCTTCCATTCGAAATTACGCCGCATGGCTTCTTCGCTAAAAGCGTCTTGCACATCGGCTTTCGAAGTGAACGCCATACCCACTTCCAAATTAGCAGTCGGATTATACACAGGCATGGGCCGATAGTCAGGGGCATCGTTCTGACCATATAAAAATTGATCAGGAACCTCTGTGTAGTAAGGCGTTGGTGCCTGGCGGAACGCCACCTCACTGTCATCGATATCGTCGTTATCGTCCGCATCTTCCTCCTCACTGACTGATCTCAAATCTTCCTCACTTTCATCGTCACTGGAGGCGAATGGATAGCTCGGCGAAGGAGGGTCATCGTTAGCAGCATAACCAGCATCGCCTTCTTGGTCATGCGAAGTACGCCCAGTTCGAAGGGTGTTTTCAATGTCACCCCACTCTGGACCCCAAGCAGGCCATTGATCACCGTCGGGCTGAACGATATCGACGGCAGTCTCACCACCATGTGGCAGGTATTCTTCCCACCCAACAGCTCCTTCAGAACTACCTCCTCCGTAGTTGCTTGAAGTACCTCCCCAACCATACCCTCCGGCAGAAGAACCTGCTCCGTAGTTACTTGAACTACCACCCCAGCCATACCCTCCTGCAAAACCATCATCATAAGAATACTGGTGAGAATGAGTTTCACCGACCGGCTCGGTCTCGACATACACCTCTGCAAGCCGCACCCCGTTCTCAGATATGAACTGTGTCATCATGTTCGCGTCGTCATCGTCATTTATGTCAACTCTTTCGTACATGACTCCGTCAGCACTCATGTTGGGATACCGGTAAGTAATTTGACGAACTCTCATTTGCCCGCCCGTACAAGCCCTTTCTGCACACCTGTCATGGAGTTATTGCCACGAGAATCTCGACTCAATTGTAAGCGAACTGGATTCGCCATCTTCATAGTCGATCCCAATGTTCGAGTTTGTCACCCGACCATTCCAATAAATAATAAGCCGAAACTTCTTAAATTTACCCATGTCTGCAATTTATAATAATTAAGTATAGTATATAATTAGTACATTATGGATACAAAAACAATATCATCCAAAGCGATAATAAAATGCAACTAATTTATCTATTATGAGAAAACTAAACAAATTCATCTAAATTCATAACTAGCTAACTAACATCTATCATATCATAATTAAACTAAATAATATCATAACATATTTTCCAATAACCGCAATTCACTAAATACAAACAGTATAATTACTAACACATCAACATGTAAAAAATACATACTTATAACATACTCAATCCTGATCTATCATGATAACTAAACAAATTAATCTAAATTCAGTACTAACTAACTAACATATATCATTAATCTAAATATATAATTCTAACATACCTAATTCTAGCACATAATCAAAATGTAAACAATACATAATTCTAACATACCGAATCCCGACGAGTTTCTTGAGCAGTAAACTACGGAGGAACCAGCTGCGAAAACGATAATTTTGGTACTAATTTTCTGTTTGGCAGCAGGAGTGTTTGGCAGCAGGAGGGAAGAGGGGGCGTGGCTTTTTATAGGAAAAATTGGAGGCAATCACCGCTTTGGACAAAGGCGGTGAACCATCATCGCCTTAGTCAACAGCGGTGATGGCTAGGTAGCTGTTACCTACCTGTCCACCTACCAGGGCTGTGTAAAACGTGGGGGCAATCACTGCTGTGGACAACAGCGGTGATGGCTTCACTGTTGATGTCCAAAGCGGGGATACGTTCCCCGCTTTTGTCAAAAGCGGGGATACAATCCCCGCCTTGGACAAAAGCGGGGAACGTATCACCGCTTTTGACCACAGCGATGATGCATTCCCCGCTTTTGTCCAAGGCGGTGATGCGTACCCCGCTGCTTCACTGCTTTGGACAAAAGCGGTGATCAACATCACTGTCTTAGACAAAGACAGTGATGTTGAAACTGCTGTATTTTGGGAATTAGTTTTATAAGTACTGTATTTAGGGAATTTTTTTTAATAACTCGCGTATTCTGGGATTTTTTCCGGTAAAGTTGGTGTTTTTGATTTTGTTTATTTTTCCTTTTCTTCTCTGTGTTTGGGTCCAACCGTCCAAGTTTAGTTTTTTTTTTTTTCCTATTATTATTTGGATGTCCCTTTCAATTGTTTGTATTTTAAAAGTTATGGTACGTTGAATATAAATTCATGTTTTGCAACACAATTTTGATAAGCGTTGCATAAATTATACAATTAGGCAACCCAAAATTTATTTTTGACATATGTGTTGTGTAAAGAGAATAATTGCAACATATAATTAAATTGAGTTGGGTAAACTATCCAATACGCAACTCCAAAAAAAAGTGTTGCCGTAACATATTTAACGCAACACTTTCAAGTAGTGTTGCAATCCAAGTGTTGCAAGAAGGCCTTTTTCCCGTAGTGTATGGATATTGCTTTCATAATGTAAATGGGTATGGGTTGGATATGGATATCCATTTACTTGAGGGTTTTTAACTACACACACAAAAATTGGACCTATTTGTAAAACTTGAAAAGTTTAGGTACCAAAATGTAAGACCAAAAAAATTTAGGTACCAAAACGTAATTTTCCATCGATATTTTGAGGACTTATATGCAAAAAAAAATTAAATTTAGGTACTAAATCTGCATATCTATTAAGTTTAGGTACCAAACTGTAATTTGCCTTTGGGCATGGGTACAAACCCAAATCCATGTGTTAAAAACCCAACCCAAGTAAATGGGTATGGGACTATGGGTACAAATCCATCAAACTCTACCCATCTACCATTTATTTGGAATCCATACCCAACCCAATTGGGTTGGATAGTAAAATAGCCATGGGTATGGGCAAAATTGCCATCCCTAGTACGACCATGTCATGATACTCTGCTTCAGCAAAAGAGCATGCCACCACTCGTTGTTTCTTGATAGGGGCCCCACCAAGACAAACTAGATAGCATGTGGTGGAGCGCTGAGTGTGCTCACATCCCCCTAGTCCGCATCACAATAATAAGCAGTGAGGGTTATATCATTGAGTTTGGGGAAGAGGAGCCATTGACCTAGAGAGGACTTGAGATAACGCAATATACGATGAGAAGAATTCATATGCATATGAATGGCTAAGGATGTTGACAACATAAGTGATATCAGGCCGCGTGATAGTCAAGTAGAGAATTCGATCGTTGAGACGCCGATTAGAGGAAGGATCGACGGAAGCGTAACATCAGAACTGGGCCGAGTCAGATGATGATTCTACTCGATCGAGAAAGCACCGGGACATGAACCAATGGCTCTAGCATCTATAAGAATGTCGAGCACACAGAGTGCAACACCATCACTCGCGCGAACAAACTCCATCCCAAGGAAATAACAAAGATCCCCAAATCCTCGATGTTGAATTTTGCATCGAGAAACTGTTTGACACCTGTGATCAAGGACATGTCATTGCCTGTGAGGATAACGTCATCGACATAAATGAGAGCCACTCCCCTGGCAAAAAATAAACAACGAGTAGTCGACTGGAGAAGATTGAAAGCCGAGTGAACAAAGAGCGGTGGTGAACTTGTGATACCAATTACGCGAGACTTGTCGGAGACTATATATAGACTTAAGAAGCCTACAACCCCACCTATTACCAAGAGCAGCAAAGTCGGGAGGAATCTTCATATATAATTCCTCCTCAAGATCACCATGGAGGAAAGCATTGTTGACATCAAGCTGGTGTAGATGCCACCCCTTACTAACCGCCACTGCGAGCAAACAACAAACGGTAACAAGCTTGGCAAAGGGAACAAAGGTATCATGGAAATCGATACCCTGAATTTGTGTGAATCCTATCGCCACAAGCTGAGATTTGTAGCATTCAACCGACCCATCAAGACGATATTTGATCTTGCAAACCCATTTTGCGGGAATGACTCGCTTTCCGCTAGGTAGAGAAACAATACTCCAAGTCCTATTTTGTGTAAGAGCGCAAATTTCTTTCCGCCATAGCTGCATGCCAACGTGGGACAAAAATTATCGTAAGAGACAAATGCAGATAGAGGGTATTAAATGCCAGTATGTGTGCTTCCCTGAATGTCGGTAGTGGGATCAGTGATTTGGGTGTAAGTGGTCTCATAAATGTTCATGTGTTGCGGTCGAGTCCGGATGCGGTCACTACGCCGAGGAGCGGCGGGATCCGGGGCTAGCGAAGTGGTTGGTGAGGACCCAATCTCATGAGTAGGTGCCGAAGTAGCTGGGCTCGGCCCAGAGGTAGGATTCTACTCATGATCTACCTGTGACGAAGGAGAAGTCATGCTAGGCTCAGGAGGAGTGGAAGACGGGTTGACAATGGCCCCAAGATCTTCGAACAATCCTCATCCAAATCGTCGACCTGTGAAGAGAAAATGG